TATATGAGCATAAATTAATAAATCTGCACGTACCTACTTGCAAAAGTAAAGCGTTTGTCATGTGATCTTCAACACGCCTTTTTTAACTGGTGAACACCTGTTTTACATAATGGACACTGTAGCAATTATTTGTAGTTTTTCTGATATCTGATATTTGAATAGGAAATGCAGTATCATAAAATAGGTATGGAATAAATATTTCATACTAAAAGTATAACAAAGTCATACATTTATAACAGTATATACCAATAATATTGTTTGTTAATTAATTTTTAATAACCATAGAAAATAAAATAATAAGTTTTATTTATTATTCTTAATGTTGTATCTGAATTTTTATATTAATACAATTATAGTAATTACTATATAATTATCGATAATTAGTGGCAACAAAAAACGATTATATTATACTTATTATATCATAAAAATTTCAAGACATAATCATATATTTATATATATAGTTTTTAATTCTAAATCGCTAAGTGATAATATAGGACATAATTGGTACAATWATATAGTAAAGATCYMTATCTTCAAATATACTATTAATACTTCAATAATATCTACATTATATTATAACACTATAGAAATACTATAGATTAAATAATATATTAAATATTAAACATTAATTATAATCTTTCAACTCGGAAATGGAATTATATTGAAATTAAATTTTCTATTTTGAATCATAAAAAAAATGTAATATAAATCTTGACCAGTCTGGGTCTTAAATGGTCTTAAAATGAAGAATTAAAAACAATTCTATACCTATTCCCAATTATTTAATTATAAATTGTTTCATAGGTTGAATCTTATTGAGTTTTTGTTTTATCCAGTATTTTTGTTTTGAGTATTATATTATGCTGTAAAGTTCTTCTTGAACTTCTGCAGTTGGTTCGACGTTTATTGCACTAATCATTTTTCATAACCTGCGAACGTTTTAAAATGCTGTTGAACCACTTTATAGTAATATAGCAGTTTATAAAATATATTGTAATATTTTGGATTTTTTTAAATTTTTCTTATTTACCTTCTACAACAATAACACAACACATTTGCTGGATCCATAGTAGTGTATTGGTATCTGAATAGTTCTGAACAATAATCGTCACGATACTTAATATCTGTCCAACAATTATTTCGGCATCCACATGCTTGGCATACAGACAGAATCAACAGAAATGCAAAAATCACTAATTTCATGTTATGACTCATTTCAGCTATAAGATATTTATTACAACTCTTCAGTCATTGGATATGTTTACATGCAGTGAAATTGTGGCTTCAAATAAAAATTAAAACTATTGAATGAATAGCTATTGAATCCATAAGATTTTCATAATGGTATATTAAACAAGTAATATTACTTATTAAACCATCGACCATAACATAAATGCAATTATTTTATCGTTGAAAATTGTAGAGAATTTTTTAAATAGTGTTAAAAATCAAGAATATAATAATCTTGCTTTTATTAAAAATATGCAGTGCTAC